CCTGGTCCTAGGTTCGAATACCAGCACCCACATGGCAGCTAACAACTGTCCGCAACTCCAGTTCCAGGGGATCCAACAGCCTCTTCTGTCCTCTGCGGACATTGCATGACACGGGTGCACTTACATACATGCAGGCAATACACTCTTACACATAAAAAAAAAAAAAAAAGATGATGATTTAACAGGTGATAGAACTCTGGCTGAGTGGCCCGATGGCCTCTAATTTCCGTTTCCCTTTTCTTCCTGTGTAATATAACTTTGAACTCAATACTTTCCAGAATGAAGTTTGCATTGTGCAGGCTCCCTTGAAGCTAAGTGCAGCCACAACTAAGTCTTGACCTCAGGAAATACTGTTAAAGCAAGGTCACACATTTTTCTTCCCTGCTTCTTGTTCCTCATGGCAGGAATGCAGAGGTGATGACTGAAGCCCAAGCAGCCATATTGGACCACAAAGAGAAAGCCACTTACTGAAGATGACACCAGGTAGAAGGACCTGCAGAGCACCATTGAACCCTGGGACCTCCCACCTTCAGACTATATCAGAGACAAAGAAACCTCTGTCTTGTTTAAGTCATAAAGATTTTGGGTTTTCTCTCATATACAACATATCTTGATTTTCTTTGACACAGTTACAGAGTGGCAGGAAGTTATGTTTACGTGGGTGGCCAAAGGAGCATAACATTCACCAAAAGCCTCAGTGGTAAGCAGGAGCCCAGCATGGGGAGATGGATCTCCAGGCAGGAATGGGTTCTGCACTGGAGGAACAGGAAGAGGGGTTAAGCAGAGGGTAGGGGTAGCCTGGAGTACGGATAGGCATGGCTCTACAGGTTGGGGGGTTACACAGTGGGCCTAACACAGGAGCAACATCATGTGACTGAATTTCTAAAAGGCCATTCTGACTTGTGGCAGCCATGCTGTGGGGACCCAAGGGCCATGTGGGAGAACCCTGGGGTGATTGGGAAGATGGGGGCCTAGGGAGGGCTAGTGGCAATACAGAAGTGAGGTGAGATGGGCTAAGGTGGAGTGTAGGGGCGAGAGGAGGAAATGAGTCAAAGAAGCAGCTCTATTTGGGGGTTTGAAAGGTAGAGGGTGCTAAAGGAGGCCCAGGGTGTCTCCTTGTTTGTGTTTAGGAAATGTTTAGAAATAAGACTGTCACCATGTATTCATATGGCCTTTCTCAACACTCTTATCTTACACATGCTTTGGCAGTGTGACAAGAGATCCTGTGTTTTTTCAGGGGGGTTTGTTTTATTTTTGTTTTTGAGACAGAGTCTCATTGTGTAGCCCTGCCTGGCTTAGAACTCGCTATGTAGACCAGGCTAGTCTCAGACTCACAGAGATCTGCCTGCCTCTGTTTCTGGAGTGCTAATATTAAAGTCATATACTGTCATGCCCTGTGGGACCCCATTTGCACAAATTCCATTCACGTTCACAAACACATGGATTGTGGATTCCAGGCACATACCTGGAATCCCAGCACTTGGGAGGCTGAGGCAGGAGATCTAGAGTATGAATATACTACATAGAGAGTGTCTCAAAAACCAAAACACAGAAGCCCTCACTGACTAATGGAGTCTGGTCAGTTTAAATCCCAGAGTCTGGGACAGATTAAAGGATCTGAGAACAATGGTCCCTGTCCATGGGACCCATGGTCTGTGGAAAAGAAAGCCAAACATGGAAGACCTGGCACAGCACAGAGCGGGGAGCCTTCTCCATCTCAGGGCAGAGCCAAGAATGTAAGCGCTGAGGCTTGAAGGTCACAGTTTCAGTCCAGCAGGTTGGTAGGAGGTAGGGGGAGCAGGGGTGGCACTGTGACTGGAAAGGCTACTCTTCCTACTCTACTTCAGAGCTCGGGGTCCCCTCACCCACCTCCTACCATGCTCCCTCGGGATGGGCTGGAGCCATGACTATGTGTGAATCCGATCTGTTCCATACCCTCCCCCACGACTCTGCCACTTCATCACCTCTGGTTCCTCCACCTGAATGCCTAGTTCCCTTTTCCCTTAAGGAATTTCTTCAGGGCACAGTTCAGATTATCCTTAGGGACATCTGGTACTTCCTAAGTGCCTTTCCTCTCTGTCCCCACTTTTCACATCTCTTGTTATCACATTGTAGTAACTGTGGGCTGTCATCATCTATCCCGCTGGACAGGAACTTCTAAAGATGGACGATTGGAGGCCCCAGCTCCAGTCCCTACCCGATACCCTGGAGACATTCTAATCCTGGTAACCCTTCACTTTGCTCACAGCTCAGCCCCATCCTGCATCCAAAGAGGACTGTGCTTTGAAGTTTCCACCCACTTGTCATCCCATTTGGTCCCAACAGTCCAGCAAGAAGAGGGATGATCAGAGAGAAGATGTAGTCATACAACCAAGTGGTGGAGCTTCCTGTCCCAACAGTTCACAGAAGCAAAATCCTAGGAGTCTGGGTTCCCAGTCCATGAGGGAGAAACAGGAAGTTGTCTCTTCCACTGGATGTCAATGGAAACCCAAGGCTACCCTGAACACACTTTGTTCCCACCCCATCTCCCCTCTGCTCCAGCCAGCCAGCCACTACACCCTGCATGATTGGGACATTCGCTTACTTTTTTTTTTAATTATTTTATTTTTTATTTTATGTGTATGCATGTATTGCTTGCATGTAGGTAAGTGTACCCGTGTTATGCAATGCCCATAAAGGACAGAAGAGGTTGTCCGATCCCCTGGGACTGGAGTTATGGACAGTTGTTAGCTGCCATGTGGGTGCTAGGATTCGAAGCTGGGTCTTCTGCAAGAACAGCCAGTGTTCTTAACTGCTGAGCCATCTCTCCAGCCCCGACATTCGCTTACTTTAACTGCAGACCAAGGTTTGCTTTGCCCCAAACATAGGCCTTCACTCTTGCCTCCATTCCCACAGGGTAGCAAGGCTATCCCTCCTGTGTAACATAGCTTGGTTGAGGACTTCGGGACAGCAGGTGAGAACGACTCATTGCACATCCAAGAGTGGATGTGATATTATAAAAGGGTTCCACCCTCAGTGGGTCAGAGCCCTATGCAAGCACCCTGTTGTCACCCCTCACCTCACTGAAAGGCTAACCTCCATTAAGTCTCTGTCTTGCCTGGCCAGGCAGACAAGCAGGTCTGAGCTGGGAGTCATCCTATAAGAGGCAAACAGTGGGCTTAGGAATTTGGCTCAATTGATAGAATGCCTGCCTAGCATGTACAAAGCCCTGGGCTTGGTCCCCAGCACTGCACGAAGTGGGCAAGATAACTTATATCTGGTATACCAGAACTCAGAAGGTGCAGGCAGGAGGATGAGAAGCTCAGAAGTTCAAAGTGATCATCACCCGTGTAGCAAGTTCATAAGCCTGAACTACATGAGACCCTGTAGAGAAAGGGAGGGAGAAAGAGAGAGAAACCAGACAGTGTCACTGCCCCAAAGGACTTCAGGAGCCCAGAGAGACTTGGTGCCCTGCATGGAGAAATGCTATGTCCTGGTCATTTAGCTTATGGGAGGCTACTTCACCTACCTGTCATTTTAGATGTCTCCTCTACAGAATGGGGGACTTGGGGAAATTGAGCATGACCCCAGTTAACCACCCAACACAGCCTCTGTAGAGGATTCTGCCCTGAATCATAACCACTGTCTTTTCAGCTCTGCTGTGACAACCAGCACAGGCTGGTGGGCAAGATCATCCAGTGTACCCTACTCTGGCCATTGCTGAGATTTTGTTGGAGCCTGAACTTGAACTTGGGCTTCTCTTCCTCTTTCTCCTCACATATCTCAGGCTAGCCTTGAACTTGTTATATATATATATATATAGGATGACCTTGAACTTCTTAGCCTCCAGTCTCTACCTTCTAAGTTCTGAGCTACCACTTCCTGAAAAAAAGGAATTTCAAGTGTGCATCACCACACCCAGCTTTGTGAGGGACTGGGGATCTAATGCAGGGCCTCATGCATGCTAGGCAAGCACTCCACCAATTGAGCTGCATCCCCAGCCCTGGGAATCTTCTCTTGATAGATGAGGAAACTGAAGCTCAGGAGATGCCTCAGCTGCCTCTGTTCCATGACCAGTCAGTGCAGGATCCAAGCAGAGCGGACTCCTCCCTCCATGCTCAAAGCCAAGTCCACGGCACCCCTCTTGATCTGGACTAAACCTCTTCATTCCCGCCCATTGGAACTCATCTATCAGTCAGGAACAGGTGCCCTGGGCAGGGCACTGCTCCCCCCAGTGCAGAGAACAGTCCTGCTGGAGGTGTGGGGGGAAGGGTATGCGGGGGCCGAGAATGCTGCTGCTCCAGCCTGGGAGCCAGGGCTAGGCTGCTACAGAGGAGCCAGTGTGCCCAGACATTGGTGCTTTGTGAGCTGGGGTTCTGTGTGGGGACAGTTGTTTTTCTTGACCTGACATTGTTTCAGGTTGACTGTCAGTGTCTTAGCCCCAGGGATCAGCTCTCTGGAGCCAGTGGGGTCTTGGGGACTTGGGTGGCTAGAGCACTCTAGTCAGGGGCAAGAAGGGGAGGGAATCAATGGGACCCAACAGCGTCAGGCAGGTCCCCTGGGAGGCTACCAAGGAAGAACCACGGATGATAGTTCATGGATAGGAAAGATGAAAAGGTGCCTTGTGATTTGGGGACAGAGAAGCCTGGCCAGAGTGGAACATGGACAGACGCAAGGCACAGCTATCCAGAGGCTACTGCTTTCCTGCCAGGGAGCTGGGAGTCTGGGGAACCCAACTATCAAGCCTCAGTCCATAAATGAAGACCTAGGAGAGTCCCAGGATCAGAAGGGCCGGGAGGCCTTAGGGGCTGGTCAGGTTGGGTGGGGTGGGCCCAATGTACAGCTGTCCAGATGTGGGTGAGAGATAGATCTGCTTATGGGGCACCCAGTTGGAGTGGGGTGGGGGGTGGAAAGGGGCTCCCAGCTGTGGGGCGGGCAGATTAGGAGGCGGGGGCATGAGTCAGGGGTTTGGGAGCCTCCCCCAGGGCACTGGGGCACAGGCCAGTGCTGTTAGAGCATCTGGGAGCTCAGCCAGTTGCAGAGGGCACCAGCGGCTGCAGGACTTCAAGAGGGACCCCGAGGCTCCTGAGCAGGTGGGAAGGGCAGGGAGTGGTTGGGTGGTCCTTTGGCACCTGCCCTGAGGGTTGTACAGGTGGCCAGCTTGAATCTCTGTCCAAGTGACAGGAGCCTCTGACCCCCAAAGGGGTGCAGGTGGATGGGATGGTAATGTAACCATGTGCATGTGCATCTCAGTGCACCTGTGGGGTGGGAGGGGCAGTACCCATGCAGAGAGGTGTATGTGGCTGGTGTGCATGTTGGGAGAAAACTGAGCTCTTCCAAGGTAGATCCTGTCAGCTTTCTGTCCACCAACCCCTCGGACCCCATGAACTCAGGCCTCATTTTCTCCAGGTTCCTCTTTTCCTCCATGTATGGGGGCATCCACATGGGAGACCATGTCAGCCAACATTGATTCCCATTTGTGACACTTCTAGGCGTCTATTTGGGGGACTTGGCACTGTCCCCTACCCAAAAAGTATTTGGAGGAAAAGGAGAATCCCTGCTCTATCAAGGGTTGAAAACCTCTTAGCTCAGCCTCATTCTACTAGAACTGAAGGCAAGTCAGAGAGCGATGAAGAAAGCAAGCCTGACCTGGACAGCAGTGGCAGGTTCATGACAGGCTGTGTGCTGGGTGCAGGGCCACATGTATTCTGTACATGAAATTAATATGTACAATTGGTCTATAACATAAGAATCATTATCACCGGCTCCATTTTAAAGATTATAAAAGAAAAACTGAGGCTCAGAAAGTTTCAGTCATTTGCTCAAGCCCACAAACGTTTGTAAATGACAGAGCCAGGATTTAAATCCAGGCAGTCTGACTGCAGAGTCCATGTCTTAACTCTAATTCCAGACCAGCTAAGAGCTGTTTTCTTTTCTAGGAGGCAACTCAGTACAGTGGTTAGAGAATTGCCTGGAGTCACAGGCTTAATCCTGCCTCTGACGTCAACTTACTATGCTCCTGTAGTAGGTGGACTCCTCTGAACCTTGGCTTTCTTTGCCACTGACACTGCTGGCTTGGCTAAGCGGAGTGGTTTTGGGATTAGGAGAGATAGGACCTCACAGCTGTGTGGGTTTGATCGTAAAAGGGTGGTGCTGTGCTACCAGGGAGTTGTCCCTGTCATCTGTCCCCTCCCTGTCATCTGTCCCCCTCCCCCTGTGCCTCCTCAGCTGGGCTCCACATCCAGGGCTCCAGATGCCTCACTCCTCCTTATCTGGCCTGGCTGGCAGTCTGCCCTCCAGGTGTTTGGGGTGCTTCCAAACCCAAGGCAGTGCAGTCTCAGAGGCTAGGTTCTTATCAGTGCCAGTCAGAGAGAGGCTGAGCTGGTAGCACTGGGCCAGCAGGCAACAACCTGGGCCTGGGGGCACCCTCTGGGGTCCAGCTGGGCTCCAAGCCCCTCCTCTCTTTAACTGAGTTCTCTGAGTCCTGGCATCTGACAGACAGATGTCAGACCTGGCCAGCTGAGAGCTACCCAAGGTCATTGACCAGTCAGAGCAAGGGAGGTGGCTTGGGACTCCGGATTCCTGGCTATGCCATGCTGACCCTCCAGGGAATCAAGGCTCCACAGTGGGAATTTTGACACCTCAGGATCTGAGGATCAAGAGGCACTGTGGGCAGGTCCAGAAGAGGAAAAAAAATAAAGTTGGAAAAGAGGAGCAGGGTAGGGTGCCTTTGGGAGAGAAAGATGGAAGAGGCAGAGAGAGGAGGAAGGGAAAAGGTGTGTAGCCAGGGTTGTGGAGGGACAAACCTCCTACAGAGGGATGGGGGACATTCTTAGACTTGGGGACATCTTCATGGCTTTCATTTGCTACTGCCAAGGACTCAGCTATACCTCTCCCTCTACTGCTCAGGACTCCAGGACTATCCATGCCTCGGAAAGTTCTCTGTATGACTCTTTCTAAATTATGCCCTGCGCTAGACCCTTGATGGCCCCAGCCTGCATGCATGGCCCTGCTTCCACTTCTTCATGCCACCCTCTGCCCTCTGTCCCCTGCCCTCAGCCCTCTGTCTTCTGTCTTCTGCCCCTGCCCCCTGCACCCTGCTTTCTACACTCTGCTTCTCTCCCCTCCCCTGCTCCCTGCCTCAGCCCTAGCTACTCCTCACACATAGGCTGGGCCTCTAGACCTGGGACCTCTCCTATGGCCACTGTACTATACCCAAGTCCTGCTTTTTCTCCTGCTATATTGATCCACAGCACCCAGCACATATGGCCTCCTAACCTCTGTCCATCTGGAACCTCTTCAGTTATCCTAAAACCAGGGACCTGCCTTGTTCACCTCCTGTGCTCGGCAGAGTCAGCCACATTTGATGACTCCAACCCAAATGCTTGTTACTCTAATGTTCTATGTCTCAATGGGTAAAAAGGGAAAGAAAACCTCTCCACATCCAGTCTGGTACCTTAGGTGATCTTTGCCTTCCCTTTGTGCCCGTCCTCACATTTTTGGGTGGGTACACCTTCATCTTGACTAAGAACACATTGAAAAAATAGAGGTGGAGGTTCTGTGGCCTCTGGTTGCATCTTGGCCATTCTGAGCCTCAAGTCTGGGATGTAGAATCAGGATGGCTGAGCACTCACAATGTGACAAGCCCTCTGCTAGGTGTGGGGATTTCATGAGGATCGAGGTGTCAGGGGCTTTATACTCAAATGCCTTCTTTTCCAGAGGATAGGTCAGACAGTATTTAGACACAAATCAATCAAGAAACCATGCAAGGCTAGATCAGGGAATGTCAGGGTGGTCAAGGAGGGCCTGTGAAGAGGCGACTTTGGAGAGGTAGGGGGCAGAGGACATTGCATCCACGATTGACAATGGATGTGCCAAGGTCCTGGGCAAGCAAGGGCTTGGTAACCACAAGGAAGCCAACAGGCCAGGTAGAATATAAGTCAGAGAGGTAGGGTTCAAATAAAGAGGGAAAACAGCCTCATGTCCTTTAAGATCTGTGGACTGCTTCCAAGGATGCTGCAGCCCACTGCCCAGCGGAAAGTCCATTTCTAGGAGAGGATATGTTATAGACACTCAGGGGAGCCAAGGCCCCTGAAGAGGGAACAGGTCATACCCTTGGAGTTGGCTGAGTCTCTGGGACTCAAGAACAGAAGGTATATGAGGACTGGTAAATAGAGAATGGAGCTAGACTCCACATCACTTGACCACTCTCCCCGAAAACACTAAGGAAACTGAGCCATGTTGACATCTCCCATCTCTCAGCTCCTGCCCACATGCCCACACACCTACAAACCCAGTTCTTTCCTCTATACCCACCTATACTCTAGTCCCACTCTGGGAATGTCTTACATCCCCAGGCTCCCCTGACATTAAAAGTCAGCCCTTTTAGGAAAACCCCAAAGCCACAGAAGGCCAACTGAGGCTGATTGACACAAGTGGGCCTTATTCAGCCTGCGTTCCTCCTACAGGGACCCGAGGTACGGGTTATGCTGGGGGCTCAGATCGCCGTGGACAACTGGACACTGAGGATAGCACCATGGGGGACATGCAGGTGGGTGCCTCCTGGTCAGTGCAGGGCTCCTGTCTGGGTCATTGAGAAGTCACTCTGGGCAGCCCCAGTCATTCCTCAGGGGACTTGGGGAGCCACTTGGCCTAACCTTGATGACCTTTCCCCACAGGACCACAAGGAAGTGCTGGAGATCCCAGATCAGGACAGCGAAGAAGGGTTAGGGGATATTCTAGAACAGGAAGAGTATGAAGACCCAGGTATCCCTGTGGTCCAGCTACAGGAGCTGGAAGGTGAGTCCCTGAAGGGACAGTAGAGGCCCTGTTTGCCCCTTCTCCACAGTCCCAGTCCCAGTCCCAGGGCCAGTTCTCCCCACAATCATGGCTGATTGAAGGGTAAACAGCATTTTGTTTGAAATGATCACAGGAGGTGACTGGGGGGTAGGGCCCCTTTCACATGTGACAGAGCAGCCAGGTCTGTCTGGGACAAGGGCACAAACCCACCCAACTCTCTGCCTGTCCCATGGCAGCATCTCCACCAAGCATCTCGCTTGTTGCATGAACATCATTCCATCTCAGCGGCTGGTGGTCCTGAGAAATAGGGTTGACTGTGGGGAGCCCCTGAGCAGAGTCCTCAGGAGCCCACACCACCTTCCTTGGCCTGCCCAAGGTCTTAGGTAGAGAGCCCCAGGCAGGGACCTGTTTACTGTCAATAGGACTTAAGTGCTAGTGATTGGATTTGAGGTTAAGAGGCCCCCTTGGGAAATGAGGGCTGGGATGAGGGAATATAAGGGCCTCACCCCACCTGAGTGGTACGCAATGAGAGGCTACCAACTGGTAGCTTAGCTAAGCAGGTGGGAGGTGGAAAGGAAGTCTTATCCAGAGGTGACTGGGAAGGGAAGAGATGCTAGGATGGTCCTGAACTTGGGACCCTCGCTTCCCATCCTAGCTGAGGAAGGGTCAGGCCAGGGGCTCAGATCTCCATAATGAATTTCAAGGGTCCTCAGTAAGGCTCAGATGGGGAGTGACAGAACCAAGTTAGGCCCAGAACAGGTATGATGAGCCACATCCCACTGCTGGACAGTGATGGGGCTGGGCATGCTCCCAGGCCAGGGGCAGTAGAAGGATTGGGTCTGGGTCCCTGAGGCTCCCTCCATGTGGTACAGTAGAGCGGGAGTGAGGTGCCACATCATGAGCAATGCTAACCAGCTTCTGGGTTTTCAGCTTTTCCCACAGAGCAAACAGCCACAGACTACACTTCCACCAGTGCCCCCACATCGCACCCAAGTTCCCGCCAGGTGAGGATACAGACCCCCCATCCTCTTTCTCAGGCTGCCTTTGGGACCCATTATGTATCATGGAGAGGGACAGAGAGAGTCAGGCTGGAGGAAACCCCTGGTAAAGAAGCAGAGAAAGGGCAGGCATCCTAGGACATTGGTGATGGGGAAAGGGATCTGCTCACAAATGGTGAGACAGGCCCTTTCCAAACTTCCTGGACAGTCTGACTGCTGAGGTTTGGCTGGGAAGGATGCTCACTGAGGATCCATAAAATCAAGTGTACACTCTCCTCTGCCCCAGCACTCAAGACTTCCTAGCTGGTTAGAAACTTGGGCCTGCCTCAGCTGTGGCCCCAGGAGTAGCCACCTACACCTAAGGACAATCTGAGTCACATTCCTCAATAATCTTGGAGGCAGGAGACTAATCTAATGCCTCCCTAAGCCCCTTCAGCCTCAGCCACCAGGCCCCAGTTTTCTGGCCCAGCATCTGTTCTAGGCTGCTCTTGATCCAGAGGTCCTCATGCCTCTTCTGAAATGTGGTGAGGCCCTGCTGAGGAGAGTGAGACATGGAGCCAGTGGAGTGGGCTGGACCCATGACACCCTTGCGCATCTCCCCATGTTCCGAGCAAGACATCTCCTTCCCTCCAGGGCTTTGGGCCTCTTCCAAGCATCTGTCCAAAACTGCTGGGTGCCTGTGAGGCCCAAGCTCCTAGTCTCCTCATGGGTCTGCCTGTGGTCTGATGAACTAACTTGGGCTGCTGCCCTTAGGCCTATGTGGAGCTGCAGGAGTTGATGATGGACCAGAGGAACCAGGAGCTCCAATGGGTGGAAGCAGCGCACTGGGTGGGGCTGGAGGAGAACCTGCGGCCGGACGGTGTGTGGGGCTGCCCACATCTGTCTTACCTCACCTTCTGGAGCCTTCTGGAGCTGCAAAGAGTCTTTGCAAAAGGTGGGTCTTGTTGGGCCAACTATGGCCACTGCACAGAAGGCTGCTGAGGCAGCCACCATGCAGCTGTTCAACTCACCCCTTCACGCCTGCAGGCACTGTGCTGTTGAACCTGTCAGAGACCTCCCTGGCTGGGGTGGCCAATCAGCTACTGGACAGCTTCATCTATGACGAGCAGATCCGGCCGCAGGACCGGGAGCAACTGCTTCGGGCTCTGCTGCTCAAACGCAGGTGCTTTGCCTGCTGGAACTTGAGTTCCGCATCCATGGGCTCCTCCCCAGATTCCCTACCCCAAAGTCTCCCCACCCCTCTTCAGCTCCAAATGGAGCTAACTTCCGCAGGCAAGGGCCCCACTTTTCCTCCACCACAGGCCCCCACCTTGGTCTGACATCTCCCAAGGGGAGACTACCACTTCAGGCTCGCACTTGGAGGCCACTGATCTAAGGACTTTTCTCCATCCTTTCTTTTGATCCCACCTAGACATCCCAGACATGAGCCACCCACTTATATCCATAGTGTCCTCTAAGAGGAGATTTGATTCTCCTTCTCCCCTAGGGTCTCTCTGGTTTGGACACTGGGAAGTTCCATTCGATGTCCACCTTAGTCCCTCCCACCATTGGTCACCACTTTTCTGAAATCTCAGTCCTAACAGCTTACTGAATCAATGTTCCCTGTCTGTTCTACAGCCATGCTGAAGACCTAAAGACCCTGGGGGGTGTGAAGCCCACTGTTCTGACCCACTCTGGGGACCCTTCTGAGCCTCTGCTTCCCCAACAACCCTCGGTAGAGACAAAGCTCTACTGTGAGGAGGTAAGACTGGGATATGGTTGGAAGTGAGAAGGGTTAGGAGAGGAAGGGGCTGAATGTTTAGGCCCCCTAGACTCCAGTGTGGCCCCAGGACCCCACTCACCACCATCTTTCTTCCCACAGGGAGAGGGGGGTCCAGAAGGCCACTCACCATCTGGAATTCTGGAAAAGATCCCCCCAAATTCAGAAACCACGCTGGTTCTAGTGGGTAAGAACCCTTTTCCTCCACACACCCTACTTTGTGCTCTGGGCCAACCTGCCTTTCTCTGGGCTGGGACTTGCAGCCCCCTCTCTTGAATAAATGTACTGTGGGTCCTGTAGGCCTGTCCTGACCACCTCATGCCTCCCACAGGCCGGGCTGCCTTTCTGCAGCAGCCAGTGCTGGGCTTCGTAAGACTGAGTGAGGCAGTGAAGCTGGAAGACCTGGAGCTCCCAGAGCCTGTGCGCTTTCTCTTTGTGCTGCTGGGACCGGAGGCTCCCCATGTTGACTACACTCAGCTGGGCCGGGCAGCAGCTACCCTTATGACAGAAAGAGTGAGTAGAGACCACGGGCTGGAGAGCCTGGGAGTTGTCGGGAGGGCAACAGAGGCCCTGGCCTGGTTGACTTCAGATTTACTAGTTGAGCCCGTTGGGTTGAATTCTGCTTGCTCCTGGCCTGGCTGGTCCAGTCTTAGCCTGGTTTGCTCTGGACTAACTGGTTTAGTCTAGTCCAGTCTGGCTCACTTTGGCCCAGTTCTAGCTGGCCCAACCTGCTATGTGGTATGCCTAGCCCACCAGGAATCCTTTAGCTCCTCCTTCCCCATCCAGGCTCCCCACCTGTCTCTCCAAAGATGTTCCTTAGAGGATAGAAGGAGCAGGAAGAACATGCCCCCACAATGAGAACCATGACAGGGTTTTGGTCCTTAGCTGTGCGCACCCAGTAAGACCAGGACTCTTCCTCCTCCTCCTCCCCCTCCTTCTCCATCTCCTCTTCTTATTTCTCTTCTTTTCCTTCTTTTTTTTTGGTCTTTATGAGACAGGGTCTCCCTGTAGCCCCAGCTGTCCTGGAACTCACTATGTAGACCAGGCTCCCCTTGAACTCACAGAGATCCACCTGCCTCTGCCTCCCGAGTGCTGAGATTAAAGGTGTGTGCCACCACTCCCGGCCTTTTTTTTTTTTTTTTTAATAGAGTCTCACTATATAGCTCTGGCTGACCTGGAACTCACTATGTAACCACAGCTGACCTTAAACTTGTGGCCATCTTCCTGTCCTCACCTCCCAAGTGCTGAGGTTACAGACATGTACCACTAGGCTGCCCTGCTCACCTGGGACCTTTTGCCTGCAAACTTAGCAGCTCCAACCCTCTCCCTTACCCATAGGTATTCCGCACAACTGCCTACCTGGCACAGAACCAAGGGGAGCTACTGAATTCCCTAGAGAGCTTTCTGGACTGCAGCCTGGTGCTGCCACCCACAGATGCCCTCTCAGAACAGGCTCTGCTCAGTCTGGTACCCATGCAGAAAGAGCTGCTTCGGAGGCGCTACCTGCCCAGCCCTACCAAGCCAGACCCCAGCTTCTACAAGAGCCTAGGTACCTGTGCTGCCCTGGACAGGGCTTCCTGAGCCCCAGCAGGCCTCTAGACCCCTAGCACAGTGCCCCTTTCCCATCATACCCCCCAATATCTTTCCCTGTGCCCAAGCTTCCCAGTCATGCTGGCTATCCATTTCCATCAGCTCCTCTAATTAATGTTCCTATCCTTTACCTCAGACTTGAATGGGGGCCCAGGGGTCCCTGGTGGCCCAGATGACCCTCTACGACGGACAGGCCGGATCTTTGGAGGCCTGATACGTGACATCCGGCGCCGCTATCCCTACTACCTGAGTGACATCACAGATGCGCTCAGCCCCCAGGTCCTGGCTGCTGTCATCTTCATCTACTTTGCTGCCCTGTCACCTGCTGTCACCTTCGGTGGCCTCCTGGGTCAGTGACAATGATGGTCTCTCTAATTGACCCTCGGGCCTTTGTCTCAGTACTCACTCCTGATTCAATCTGATCCTCGGAACCCCCGTGTCAACCTGCCATGGTTTATCTTTGGGTCCCTGAAAATTAATGTCTTGATCTTGATCCCATTGTGACTTCTTCCTACAGGAGAAAAGACCCGGAATCTGATGGGGGTGTCAGAGCTGCTCATCTCCACTGCAGCGCAGGGCATTCTCTTCGCTCTCTTGAGTGCACAGCCCCTGCTTGTACTTGGCTTCTCAGGACCCCTGCTGGTGTTTGAAGAAGCCTTCTTTTCGGTAGCACTGTCCCAGCCCCACTCTGACCTTGTAACTGACCCTGGCTCACTTGCCTGGTACCCACAAGGTACCTGAGTTTATGTTTGTCTGATCAGAAGCCCTCTATCTGACTGCCTGCAGTTCTGTGAGAGCAATAACCTGGAGTATATCGTGGGCCGTGCGTGGATCGGCTTCTGGCTCATTCTACTGGTGGTGCTGGTGGTAGCCTTCGAGGGCAGCTTCCTGGTCCGCTTCATCTCCCGCTACACCCAAGAGATCTTCTCCTTCCTCATCTCCCTCATCTTCATCTATGAGACTTTCTCCAAGTTGATCAAGGTGGGACCCAGGGGATGCTAATGCAAGCACATATACATACATGAGAGGGTATGGAAGACCACATAACTGTGTGTGGCTGTGTATATGCATGAGTAGGACTGTATTTCCACCTGTGTGTAAGACCAAGAGCATGGGCACATGTGTATCTCTGGGTTCCCTCATCTGCACACAGGACTGTGCAATGGGGTTGCCTACGACCACGTACGTGCCTGTGACCAGTGTTCTTGCTATGACTAGGTAGAGAAACTGTATGAGGAAAGGAACTTCTGTGTACAGGTGTCCGTGTTCAGAAGCAATCACTATGTGACTAGAGGACAGTACACGTGAGACTGCCTGGGACACCATGTGCAGTGAGGCAATGGGGGGATCTCTGAGGCCCCCTTTTTCTCCTACACTTGTCCTCAAGGACCCAACAGGGTCTCTGCCTCCTTAGCTCGCTTCCTGTTTCTGGAAGCTTTGCCTACTGCATCTGCAATGTATATGTAATAAAGGTGGACTCTCCATGTCCCCTGATTCTGTTGATTGGTGGGTTCTTCTGATCCCTGTAAAAAAAATATTTTAAGAAGATTTTATTTATTTATTCATTTATTTTCCTGGGGATCAAAGGGCCCCAGGACCTAAACTATTACCAACTCTAATCCTTTTTACAAACCTTCTTATGACTTAGTCCTGCCCTCCAGGCTTTTCACATTCCCCTAAGACCTGGTTGCACATGCCTATACATGCCTGCTCACTATCTCTTTGACCTATCCCATCCAAACTAACTTGCCCCTCAGCCCTGAAAACTAAGCTGGTTAACATGTCAGTTGAGAAAGAAGATGGACAGGTGATGGATGCATGCATGGGTAGATGGATGATGGCTGGATGCCGGATGGATGATGAATGGGTGGATGATGGATGTGTGGAGCAGTGGGTGGGTGGGTGAATGGATAGGTGATGGCTGGATGGATGGACGGACAAACAGATGGATGATAATGCTGGGTTGATTTGTTTTATACTGTATAGCCCAAACCAAGGCTGGAAGGGAACAGGACACCTTGTTTTTCTATTGCAGATTTTCCAGGACTACCCACTACAGCAGAGTTATGTCCCTGTTGTGATGAAGCCCAAACCTCAGGGCCCGGTGCCCAACACAGCCCTCTTATCCCTTGTGCTTATGGCTGGCACCTTCTTACTTGCTATGATGCTGCGAAAGTTCAAGAACAGCACCTATTTCCCTGGCAAGGTCAGTGCATCGCCCCCCTTGCCTGCACTACGCTGTCCTTCTCCAGCCCCTAGCTTCCTCAATGCCTTTGACTCCCCTTCTTACCCCAGCTCTCCATTCCCAAGACCCTCTTCTCACTCTGGAAGCAAACCCATCTCCACCCAGCACCAAAACCCAGCAAGAAACCAAGAATAAACAGTTCTTGGGAAGGGGAGAAGTGTGGGGCTGGGCCAGAGGAAGAAGGGAGGCAGGGATAGTTGAGGTGACGACAGGCCATTCGATTCTCATGGATCCCTTGGGAAGAGCAGAGCCCCTGGTAAATATGGCAGGGAAATGAAAACAGGTCGGAGGCAGAATGTGGGCAGCAAATGATTCCTTCATCTTCTTACAGCTGCGTAGAGTCATTGGGGACTTTGGGGTCCCCATCTCCATCCTGATCATGGTCCTTGTGGATTCCTTCATCCAAGACACCTACACCCAGGTGATTCTGACATGCCACCCTCCTCTTCATTTCCTTCCCCTACCCCTCTCCCTGCCAGAACAGCTTTCCCCAACCCAAAGCCAGTGAAAGCTATCTCTCCACCATCCTTGCTCTTCCCACGTCCCCTCAGGATTTATCTAGCCCAAGCAAGAGTTTGGACCAGAATGCTCTCTTTGTTCCTTGTCCCAGGACAGTAGGAAAGAGTGTGCTTTGAGTCAGGGCAGATCTGAATATAAACCTCAACTCTGCCACCAAGTAGTTATGTGGAGTGGGGCAAGCTATATCTAACCCCTATCCTGTTTCCTCACCTATAAAACTAAGACTGAGGAGATACAAGCCAAGGGTTTATCTAGGAAAACAGTAAGGGCTCTATACAAGCAAGTCCTCAAACACCCTAACCCAACTCCAACCCAGGACCCTGGCTGCCCCTGTCTCCATCTCTTCTCATTCCCCTGGCCCTGTGTTCTCACCAGCCTTCTCCTCTCACAGAAACTCTCGGTGCCTGATGGCCTCAAAGTGTCCAACTCCTCAGCCAGGGGCTGGGTCATCCACCCCCTGGGTTTGTACACCCGTTTTCCCATGTGGATGATGTTTGCTTCAGCCCTGCCTGCCCTGCTGGTCTTCATTCTCATATTCCTCGAGTCTCAGATCACCACGTAAGAGCAAGGATGAGGGCTTGGCCAGGGAAGGCTGGAGGCAAGAAAACGAGCAGGCTCTGGGCCTACAGGAGACTGGCCAGTGACCCTCTGCTAGCAGATGTGTTGGGCCTGATGGACCATCAGGGGCAGGTCCAAGTTTTGTGGCCCTGAGGAGTGGCATTTGGAGACCATGCAAGCTGGGAGCTCTGAGACAAGCAGTTGGATGGTGGAAGCGGGGACTGAACAGGCAAAGCTCTCTGAAGCTGAAGCTCAAGGACTTGGGACTTGGGCATTTCTGCCTGGATGTTTTCTGGAGACTTCTAGCCCCCAGAGTCTGCATTCTCAAACAGCCAGAGGGAGGGAGCTAGGAACTTAAAGAGAAATGGGAGCAGGAATCAAAAAAGGCTCAGAGGGACCCTGGTGTGGGGGAAGGAAAGGGAACTGAGGAGGTACCTGCTCACCAGACCTCCTTCTACCCACAGGCTGATTGTCAGTAAACCAGAGCGCAAGATGATCAAAGGCTCCGGCTTTCACTTGGACCTGCTACTGGTCGTTGGCATGGGTGGGGTGGCCGCCCTCTTTGGAATGCCTTGGCTCAGTGCCACCACCGTGCGTTCTGTCACCCATGCCAATGCCCTTACTGTGATGGGCAAGGCCAGCAGCCCGGGAGCTGCAGCTCAGATCCAAGAAGTCAAGGAGCAGCGGATCAGTGGGCTTCTGGTCTCTGTGCTTGTAGGTTAGTGAGGCTGGCCACATCCTTGCTGTCCTATCCCACCCACTCCTCACCCCTGTTCTTAGGATGGGGGCTTCTTCACCCTCTGCCCACTTGCAGCTAGCCTCGTCCAACCCTGGCTCCTGCTCTTGGGGTGGGGGACAGGGCTCCCATCCCATCCACTCTGCAGCCAGGTCCCTGTACACATGCCTACATGCCAGTGGCCCAGGCCTCCCCAGCACCAGTAATTCATAGGAAGGAATCTAAAGGAAGTAAGGAAGCACAGGGCCCCTGGGACACTGGGACGGTCATCTGTGCAGGGGAGGAGAGCTGCATGCCTCAGGCTTCTCTCCATCAGACCCTGTTTCCACAAGCTTAGCTAACAGCAGTGCAGCAGACTGTGGGTTCTCTCCCTGCTCTGCTGCTAGTTGAGTGCCATCCCTGGTCTCTGGGGCACAGGCTATATTAGATCCTGGGATTCTTTTCTAGCTCAGCTGCTCTATGACTGTCACTATGGCTCAGCCTGGGAAAGACAAGAGGTCACTAGAATCCCTCAGGTTCTAGCAAACTTGAGTCCAGCTTTGTGGACAGTGCTGTGGTCACTCATAGAGAGGTCAGAAAGTTTTCCTTCACATCTCTTCTCACCTGTAGGGGATGATGGAAGCACTCTAAGGTGAGGGGGAAGATGGGTTCCTCTGACCTCTGTGACTATCCCCATTAAGCTCAGAGACAGGGCATAAGGCAGGCAGGCAGGTGTCTGACTCTGCCAATGTGAACGTAGGGGTTGTTCACCTCTCTGAGCCTATAAACATGACCTGCAGAAAAAGCCCACAGGGCACCTGGGGTTTCATGGTCAGACTCAAACTACAGGCGGAGCCCCACTAAATTCTGGTCCTCAGGCGACCTGGGTTGACAGTGTGTCCCTCCCCACAGGTCTGTCCATCCTCATGGAGCCAATCCTGTCCCGCATCCCCCTGTCAGTACTGTTTGGCATCTTCCTATACATGGGAGTCACATCCCTCAGTGGCATCCAGCTCTTTGATCGCATCCTGCTCCTTTTCAAACCATCCAAGTACCACCCGGATGTGCCCTTCGTGAAAAGGGTATAAGGCCTAGCAGCTGCCCAGCTTGGGGTGGGAGTAGGGGTGCCAAGGCAGGACAAGCACTGATCTCAGCCTCCCTGCAGGTGAGGACGTGGCGCATGCACCTGTTCACCAGCATCCAGATCACCTGTCTAGCATTGCTGTGGGTGGTGAAGTCCACTCCTGCCTCACTGGCCCTGCCCTTTGTCCTGATCCTCACTGTGCCTCTGCGGCGCCTCCTGCTGCCAGTCATCTTCAGCAAGCTGGAGCTACAATGTGTGAGTAGTCAGGGGTCTGTGCCTGGCATGGTGGGAAGGAAAGGGGCAGGGAGAGGACAGCGAAGGGCCAGGAGATGTGAGGAGTGGGTTTCAGAGCTAGGGAGTACAGAGTGAAGCGGCTAGGATCTGGGTCTAGGAATGGGGATGCAGCTCAGTTGATACAGTGCTGGCCTAAAAAGATTTTGGGTTCATATAAACTGGGTGTAGAGGCATATGCCTATACTCCCAATACACAGGAGGTGGAGGCAGGAGGATAAGAAGTTCAAGGTCATCATTGGCTATATAATTCAAGGCCAGCCTGGGTTATATGAGACCCTATCTCAAACAAAAAAATGTCTGGGTCCAAGGTCTATGCCTCAATCTTGGTCTACTATGTCCTAGCATATGATCTGGGGCAAATGACCTCATTTCTCTGTGCCATGCCAGTGCAGGGTGGGGTAATGACAGGGTTGGTGACAGCATTACGAGGCATACAGGGCGTCCTCCACGTGAGGGCTGAGTGGCTAGTTCTGACATCTAAGTCATGTGGGACAGTCAGTGTAGGGCTGCCATAGGAGGGGTCCCCTGCTCACCTTTTGCAGTTCTCCCCAGCCAGACCCTCAGGCACCCCTTGCCCTTTGAAAACCACTCATTTAGACCAACCCTATAGTCTAGAGACAGCACAGGACTTGTCCAAACTGGCTCCTAACTCCAGAGGTGCCTCTTAGGCTCTAAATGCCTCTAAGGGCTCATCTTGCCCCAGTTTCTCACACTCTCCCTCTTGCTCTTCCAGCTGGACGGTGATGATGCCAAGGTGACTTTTGATGATGAGGAAGGTCGAGATGAATACGACGAAGTGCCCATGCCTGTGTGAGGGGCTGGCCCAGGCCCCCAACCATCCCACTTCACCACCTTCCCAGGAAGAGTGGAGGTTCACAGGCATCTCATGGACTCCTAGGCCTCAAGGCTGTGGGTAGGGAGGGAAGTCATGTCTAGGAAATCTTGTACCCAAGGCACGCTGGCTTTTCTGGCTGGAAATGACCAGGAGCCATATCAGGGATTTGGGCCACAGTGTCTTGGGGGACACATTGCCATGTATCTCATGCTGGAAGTGTTAGCTCTGAGCCCCCTCCTTCATGGCAAAGGTGAGACATGGAGGACAATTTTCAAGTTCCTGCTTGCTGTGTGACCTTTGGCAAGTCCCTTGGCCTCTCTGGTCTCTGTTTCCTCTTCTGTAAAATGAGTACATTGATATTACCCATGTTACAGCATGGTCATTGAGGACAATGTGAATGTGAAAAAGTGCATTGTAATTTCTGGAAGACCATTTTCCATCAGTCAACATTCTCCTCAGAGCCTGCTTGAGGGCACACAGTTTCTGGGCCACACAGCCGGAACTTGAACCTGGCCTTCTGACTTAGAGGGCACAGCTCTGTCCTCCACCCTCCACTCATCTACCTTCCTTGCTCAGAAACACCCCTGACTCCTCTTTTCCCTTCTCAGTCCCAGCCCCACCCCAAGACCCTCCTCTTTACATCCAAGAAGCTTTGTGGTGAGGGCAAGAGACAGACGAGTGACTGGGACTCAGACCTAAGTGCTTGCTCCCTTCCACCCAGCACTCACTCACTCACTCATTCATTCATTCATTCACCCCCACACCCACCTAATGAGTGAGGGCCCTAGACACAGAGGGAACTGAGACAAGCCCCTACCCCATGGTGGGCTGGGGGTGGAAGTGATACAGTCTGCTCTGGGCTTAGATGGGGATGGAGGGAGGATGGGAAGGCATTCCAGACAGGGAGACCGGGAGGGTTGTAATTTATTAGCTGGCTTCATCCACACACCCAGCCCCGCAGAGAGAGACCTGCTGTGTCCAACCCCATCCAAACTGAATCTTGGGAGAAACCCAGGTTTGACCCATTGGACTAGGAGACAGTGATCTCCCTAAAACATGGACAAAATATATTTTTTTACAAAACAAAAATATTTTTAAAAAAAGAGTTGATAGAACTGGAAGTGGTGAGAAGTGAGAGAAACAGAAACTGAGTGATGGAAAGGAGGTGACAGGAAGCCCCCAATGGAACACTCTGGGGGGGTCTCTGAAATCCCACATCTACCTCCCACCACACCCTATGCCTCACTTTCCTCATCTGTAAAATGGGGATAATAATGGTACCTACTTTGTAGGGGAATTATAAGGGATTGCTTGAAGCGGTGTAAGGAATGCACTTGCTGAGCACAGAGCCTGCCTTGTGGGGAGCTTCTGGTGAGGCTGCTCCAATGGGTATGCCCTTGCCCCCCTCCTGCCTTGCCCTGCTCCTTGTACATTGCCAAGGAGAGTGGAGATCATACCTCCCACTCTGCCAGTGCCCTTCCCTGCCATGCTTGGGAAAAGGTTTTGCTAATAAACATGTCTGTGTTGGAATGGCACCTTGCTTGAAGTTCCTGTCCCAGAATCAGGGGCCCAAGGAGTCTTGGCTGGACCAGGTGACAGTGAGGCCCATGTAGGACTGCAGCCATGGGGGGCAACAAGAGCCATGGGCCATTCTGAGGGGGGCCCTGAGCCTAAGCATGAGGAGGACCAAGTTCCCCAGAGTGGGCAAGAAAATAGGAGATGAACTCTCAGCCTGCAAAACCTTTCTCTCTTAAGGAAGGGCCGGCCTGGTGGAGTAGGGAAAGGGGCTGTCAGGGAACATTGCACCTTGCACTTGCAGACCCCTAAGACCCTTTAAACTAGTCAACAAACTGAACAGAGTCTTTGAGAACAATCACCAAAGAGCACCGGGGCCCACAGAGGGAACTTAGCTTTCCAAAGGCCGCCAGGAGCAATCTATCTCCCTCCGTCTCTCTTCCTCTCTGCCTCTGCTCTCTCTCTCTGACTCTCTCTCCATGTCTCTCTGTCTCTCCTCACCCTGGAACATCTCTTGACCAGCTCTCCACTTGTCCTCCCTCTGACCTCTGTTACAATTCTGTCCCTAGTCCCAACTGCTTCTTGCAGTTCTAGGGTGGTCCTGGACCAGAGGGTATCTCCAACCTGGGGAAGGAAGAGGCTGGTATACAGTTCCTCCCCACCATCCCCAGACTTCAGGGAGAGATCAGTACAGGCCAGGGCTGCCTAGCTTCCTTCCCTGGATCTATATATTTATTAGTTGACTACCCTGAGCTGACCCTTCCAAGCTGCTGCAGCAAAATGCTGGGGCACTAACTGGGCCCCAAGGAGAGCCGTCCCAGGGCTTGTGAACCTCCCACTTCCCACCTCCAGTCTGAGACTGAAACAGGACTGCTGAGGGCTCAGGCCCAGGATGTTCCCAGTCTGTGCAGTCTTGGGCTACCCAGCAGCAATCAGAGCATGGGTTTCCTACTGAATCTATTCTTACACATCCTTCTTCTCCCCTGAGGGAGAACCAGCTGGACTTAGAAAAGAAAGGCTGCCTTGATTGGAGGAGAACTTCCTGCCCCTTGAGGCTTACAGCCCTCTCCATCTTTTTGTTCTTGTTTATTTGAGACAGGGACTCACTACATAGCTCAAACTGGAACTCCCTTGTAGAACAGGCTGGCCTCTAACTCACAGAGATCTGTCTCTGCCTCCTGATTGCTGCAATTAAAAGATGTGCCACCATGCCCTGCCTCCTCTTCAATTAAAAAAAATTTTTTTTAAAGTCTGGGTCCCTTGTGTCTCAGGCTGTCCTCAAACTTGCTATCTGCTCAGAATGACCTTGAACTCCTGATCCTCTTGCCTCTGAACACTGAGATTCCAGGCAGGTGAATACCACCATATTTGACTTCCAATTTTTTCTGTAATGGTTCTGGGAATTGAACCCACAACCTGGTGCATGATAGGCAAACGCTGTTTCACTGAGCTACAGTCCCAGCCCCACCTTCTCCAGATTTTTATCACAATTATAAGAACAGCTTTGAGGATAGGGGAGGCTGAGACCCTGGCCACAATCCTTAGAACACTGGTACTCATAGGGTTCTAAACCCAGAACTGACAAGTCAAACTCTGTCTTTCGGCCATTTATGGGAGAGAGGACAGCAGTGGAGGTCTCAGCCCACCACACCTAGTGAATATTCTGAGGTGCACTGACCTTTCTTCAAGGTGGAGGGGGTGACTGGAATAGGAATGGTATCAAAGGGAGGTGCTGGATCACAGAAAGCCTGATTCCCCCTTCTACCTAACAGTCTGAGTCAGGGAGGTGTTAGCAAATCCTTTTTAAAACTTTGTTTGTTTGTTTGTTTATTTGGTCTTTTTGAGACAGGGTCTCCCTGTAGCCCCAGCTGGCCTGGAACTCACTATGTAGACTAGGGGGGCCTTGAACTCACACAAATCTGCCACCTCTGCCTCCCAAGTGCTGGGATTAAAGGCATGCGCCACCACACCTGGCTTAGCTCAGAATAGCTCTAGACAAAAAACAAACAAACAAACAAACAAAAAAAAAAGCCAGGCAGAGGCAGGAGGATCCCTGTGAGTTCAAGACCAGAATAGCTCTAGAGTTAATTTTATTTATTACTACATATCCTTATGTCTTCTTTTTTAGGTGAAGATACAGAGGGTGGCTTTATTTGCTCTGAAGCTTCCTCAAGGTTCAAATACAAAAATGTAGGATCATGGAGCTAGCTCAGTAAGTGCTTGACAGAATCACATGATAAGCAGGGATAAATGTGAAATCTTCCATCTGTATTTCTTTTATGTGCTCTTTCTTCTTTTATTTATTTATTTTTTATGGGGCTTTTGGCTACTCTAACATTTCGGGTGGCTTTATTTGCTCTGAAGCTTCCTCAAGGTTCAAATACAAAAATGTAGGATCATGGAGCTAGCTCAGTAAGTGCTTGACAGAATCACATGATAAGCAGGGATAAATGTGAAATCTTCCATCTGTATTTCTTTTATGTGCTCTTTCTTCTTTTATTTATTTATTTTTTATGGGGCTTTTGGCTACTCTAACATTTCCCCCCCTCTGAAGAGGTAACCCTAGAATCTTTTAAGGATTAGATAAAAGCTCCCAAATATTCTCTATCCAACACAGGCCCACCTGCCCAGGGGTGGCACTACCCACAGTGGGCTGGGCCCTCCCACATCACTCAACAATCAAGAAGATGCCCGACAGACATTGCCACAGGCCAGTCCAATGGAGTCAGTTCCCCAATTGAGGCTCCCTCAACCCAGGTCTGTCAAGTTGACACTAAAGCTATCCAGCACAGTGGGTCTATCTAAAAGACTCTGAAATTGCACAACTCTTAACTATAGGGGAAAAAAAAGGTCCTTGACTGGTGCCTAAGGAGATGTGAAGGAGAAGTAAAGGCAAGAGTAATTAGCATTACAAGTTCTAGACGGGGAACCAGAAAAAAGTCAGAACAGGACAGTTCAAATGTTCATATGAGAGTCCATTGGAATTTCTTGACAAGGGCTTCCAAAAGCATCCCTCTATTGGGTTCTTCCTCATTTTTCTTTTGTCTACCAAGGCTGGACTCTAGAGTGATGGATTCAGGATTTGCTTTCAGGTATTTTAATAGCTGTTAGAGTGGTTAGAATCAGTGTCAGTTCCCTCTCAAAGGTTTCTAGATAGGGAAAAAAACTAAAAACTTAAATTTTAATTTAAAAATGTAAGAAAAACCCCACAGGTCTGCCTTATAAACCCTAGAAATCCATAACATACTAGTTTTTAAGTAATTCTGCCAAGTCATAAACTTTGACACAGAAAATAAATCAGAACACAGAGGCAAACAAGCAAGGTACCAATGAGTAATACAGACAGAGCACCTAACAACCCTAACTCAAAGGTGTTTGTTCTTTATTCCTTGATTCCTGATGTGATTAAAAAAATGTTTTCTTGGTAAAAGAAACCCAATTGGAACTCTCCTAGCCTGCACTCCTATCCTCAGGCCTCTTGGGGTAAGTCTATAGCGCAGCCCTCCGCGCCTTGACTCCCCAAGCCACATTCACCCTTCCATCTCCCCCGCTGTTCGCTACTCCCAGTTTGGGACCTGCGCCATTCCTAGTCTTGGGGCCCCAGACACCTGGGGAACCAATACTGCTTCCTGATCCTTCTCACCCAGACCAACTTAGTGCCTTTCTTGGGCCCCAGGAGCACCACTTCTGGTCCTGGCCCCGCCCTCACCTCTCTCTGCGTCCCGGGCCCTGCACCACGGGCTAACTCTCTTAGCTTGCACTCCTATCCTCAGGCCTCTTGGGGTAAGTCTATAGCGCAGCCCTCTGCGCCTTGACTCACCCAGCCACATTCACCCTTCCATCTCCCCCGCTGTTCTCTACTCCTAGTTTGGGCCCTGCGCCATTCCTAGTCTTGGGTCCCCAGACACCTGGAACCAATACTGCTTCCTGATCTTTTTCACCCAGGCCAACTTGGTGCCTTCCTTGGGCCCCAGGAGCACTGCTTCTGGACCTGGCCCCACCCTCACCTCCCTCTACTTCCCTGGTCCTGC